TAATTTACATGTATACTTTTAAAAGGATTTCTGAAGTACAGTACTAGGGCAGTAAAGAGTTCTACCCATATTGGCCCAGTCCTACAGTCGGCTATATATACTGGCCTCCTCTCGTGCTGATTACTCAAGAACTTTGAACTTAAAACATATCTTGAACAAAATGTATTGTAGTTTTTTTGTGTTTTTATTAAACAAAAAAATACTAAGCAGCACAACTGTTTTTATCATTTATAATAATAAAATGTTTCTTGAGCAGCAAATCAGCATATTAGAACGATTTCTGAAGGATCAAGTGACTGAAAACTGGAGTAATGATGCTGAAAATGAAGCTTTGCATCACAAGAATAAATTACATTTTAAAATATTTGAAATTATAATAATATTTCACAGTATTGCTTTTAATTTTTTTTTTTATCAAAACAAAAAATGCAGCCTTGATGAGCATAAGAGACTTTTAAAAACATGGAACTAGCCCCAAACGTTTGAATGGTAGTGTATACATTTTTATTTCATTTATGAACACACTGTTCCCCCTGTATGGCAGGACTGTCACTTCACCATCCGCGGTGGTCGGCTGAGGGAAGATGGCGTTTACCAGCTGCCAGTTGTGGTGCTGATGCTGAGTCTACCTCCACCAAGCGGCAAAACCCCGTCTCTGCTCACCCCCTCCATGGTGGAAAACCTGTTTCATGAGATGGGACATGCCATGCACTCCATGTTAGGCAGGACACGCTATCAGCATGTCACAGGTCAGAGTTAACTTCACAATTAAAGGGATATTCAGGGTTATTTGGTGATGATTACTACAGCTACTAATTTATACTCGTTTAGCCTGAATAAAATGAATGGAAAGTGTTAACAAATAACAAATTGAATTTACATGGCAAATAACTGCCAGGTTGACTTGAGTTTGATTTATTTATGTTTCAATAAAGGAACCAGATGCTCCACAGACTTTGCTGAAGTCCCTTCTGTTCTGATGGAGTATTTCGCCTCAGATTATCGCGTTGTGAGCCAGTTTGCACGTCATTATCAGACTGGAGAGGTGGGTTTGTGCACGTACCTGCTTGAGAGATCATCATCTCTGTATTTGAACCCCATTAGAAGAACTGCATGTTGATTTAACATGTCTTTTGTTTCCCCCAGCCCCTTCCAGAGAGCCTAGTGTCCCGTTTATGTGAGTCTAAGAGTGTTTGTAGTGCTGCTGACACTCAGCTACAGGTACTGAAGACAGATATCACCGCTCTGTGGTATTGTGCTGGTAGGAAGAATGTCAGAGCTTTATTGAATCAGGAGAAATTGTGAATGTCAACTATAGTTGAGAAATTCTAGTTACCTTAACCCTGTAAAGCCTGACATAATAGTTAGAAAAATCTCTCTATTTTTTTTAATCCAAACATTTATTGAATCTTTAGAGAATAAAGTTTGTATTTTTTTAATCATATTTGGTACAACAGGCTTTTATTGCTCATATTGTATGATATAGAAGAATCATACAATACACTTTAAAGGGTTAAAAGTCTACTAGTCATAAGTCATTTATGTTTTTAGTGTAATTCTTCTCTTTACAGATTTTCTATGCAGCTTTGGATCAGGTGTATCATGGAAAACCACTATACAGATCAACCACTGACATCCTCAGAGAAATGCAGGAGAAATTTTACGGGTTACCATATGTTTATGACACAGTGAGTTATAGTTGTCTCTTTTAAGGTTTAATATATATATATATATATATATATATATATATATATATACAGGTCCTTCTCAAAAAATTAGCATATTGTGATAAAGTTCATTATTTTCCATAATGATGATAAAAATTAAACTTTCATATATTTTAGATTCATTGCACACCAACTTAAATATTTCAGGTCTTTTATTGTTTTAATACTGATGATTTTGGCATACAGCTCATGAAAACCCCAAATTCCTGTCTCAAAAAATTAGCATATCATGAAAAGGGTCTCTAAACGAGCTATTAACCTAATAATCTGAATCAACTAATTAACTCTAAACACCTGCAAAAGATTCCTGAGGCTTTTAAAAACTCCCAGCCTGTTTCATTACTCAAAACCGCAATCATGGGTAAGACTGCCGACCTGACTGGTGTCCAGAAGGCCATCATTGACACCCTCAAGCAAGAGGGTAAGACAGAAAGAAATTTCTGAACAAATAGGCTGTTCCCAGAGTGCTGTATCAAGGCACCTCAGTGGGAAGTCTGTGGGAAGGAAAAAGTGTGGCAAAAAACGCTGCACAACGAGAAGAGGTGACCGGACCCTGAGGAAGATTGTGGAGAAGGACCGATTCCAGACCTTGGGGGACCTGCGGAAGCAGTGGACTGAGTCTGGAGTAGAAACATCCAGAGCCACCGTGCACAGGCGTGTGCAGGAAATGGGCTACAGGTGCCGCATTCCCCAGGTCAAGCCAGTTTTGAACCAGAAACAGCGGCAGAAGCGCCTGACCTGGGCTACAGAGAAGCAGCACTGGACTGTTGCTCAGTTTTGCATGTCATTCGGAAATCAAGGTGCCAGAGTCTGGAGGAAGACTGGGGAGAAGGAAATGCCAAAATGCCTGAAGTCCAGTGTCAAGTACCCACAGTCAGTGATGGTCTGGGGTGCCATGTCAGCTGCTGGTGTTGGTGCACTGTGTTTTATCAAGGGCAGGGTCAATGCAGCTAGCTATCAGGAGATTTTGGAGCACTTCATGCTTCCATCTGCTGAAAAGCTTTATGGAGATGAAGATTTCATTTTTCAGCACGACCTGGCACCTGCTCACAGTGTCAAAACCACTGGTAAATGGTTTACTGACCATGGTATTCCTGTGCTCAATTGGCCTGCCAGCTCTCCTGACCTGAACCCCATAGAGAATCTGTGGGATATTGTGGAGAGAAAGTTGAGAGATGCAAGACCCAACACTCTGGATGAGCTTAAGGCCGCTATCGAAGCATCCTGGGCCTCCATAACACCTCAGCAGTGCCACAGGCTGATTGCCTCCATGCCACGCCGCATTGAAGCAGTCATTTCTGCAAAAGGATTCCCGACCAAGTATTGACTATTGAGTGCATAACTGAACATAATTATTTGAAGGTTGACTTTTTATTTATTTATTAAAAACACTTTTTTATTGGTCGGATGAAATATGCGAATTTTTTGAGACAGGAATTTTGGGTTTTCATGAGCTGTATGCCAAAATCATCAGTATTAAAACAATAAAAGACCTGAAATATTTCAGTTGTTGTGCAATGAATCTAAAATATATGAAAGTTTAATTTTTATCAATACATTATGGAAAATAATGAACTTTATCACAATATGCTAATTTTTTTTAGAAGGACCTATATATATTGTAATGGCAAAATAATGTTTAAAATAAAATACTAATCCTACATGTTCTCTGATGATGTAGGCTTGGCAGCTGAGATTTAATCACCTGGTTGGCTATGGAGCTAAATATTACTCCTACCTCATGTCCAGGGCGGTTGCCTCTATGGTGTGGAGGCAGTGCTTTCTACAGGACCCCTTCAGTAGGTCAGTGTAATGCCGTTCTCTTGCCATTTATCATACGATTTTATGGTGGATGCTGAGTGCACAAATGTACATCTAACTGGTACCCAAGGTGACTGGAAATACTATTCCTTTTTTTTGTTCTTTTTACATTTTATAGTCACTAGGGTTCACTATTAAAACATACAAAATATACCGTCTCATTTGCAGAGTGATGGGAGAGCGTTACCGCAGAGAGATGCTCGCTCATGGAGGTAGCAAAGAGCCTATGCTGATGGTCCAAGGTAATTAAAACACTTGGAAAATACATTTTTAAAAGACTTCACCAACTGGAAATATACCAAGTAAATATTCACTCATTTTGTATCCTCAGGAATGCTACAGAAGGCCCCTGCCATTGAAGACCTTGTTGATGCACTAGTGCTGGACCTTGATGCAAATTTAAAACCCCTAGTTTAGTAGACTGTCACAAATATCCTCTTTTTTTTTTGTCTCATACACTGGATATCACCTCATTTTTCCCAATGTGTTGCTGCCTTTTAAGCCTTATTAAAATGTGAAAAGATGACATGAAAATCAGGCATCACTTCTATCTATTATGCATCAGTTCAGTTGCATTTCACATTAAATACTTTGTGTATTGATAGAAGGTGCTGATTCAAAGGGATAGTTCACCCAAAAATGAAAATTCTGTCATTTACTCACGCACATGTCATTCCAAACCCCAAAGACTTTCGTTCATCTTCGAAACAAATGAAATCTGAGAGCTTTCTATCCCTCCATTGGCAGCTACACAACTACCACTTTTTGACACTTCAAAAAGAGATAAAACTAATCCATATGCGGTTTAATCCAAATTTTCTGAAAAGACTTGATCCCTTTATATGAACAGATTTAATTAAGGCTTTAGAATAGAAAGCTCCCAGATTGAATTTGTGTTCCGAAGATGAACGAGTCTTACGGGTTTGGAAACATGAGAATATGGTTTGATCAAGCTTGTATGGTTATCAACTCCATGTCATCATACAACTCCAATACATTTTATTTTAGTTGGAAAGTGCGTTTACTCTCTGCTGCCATCTTATTACTCCTAGGTTAGGATACCTCTCCAGCACTCTTAAATAATTTAGGAACGAATACCTAATCTTAACACTTAGGAACCTTTATGAATCACACATTCTTAAGTCTAGGAATAAGAGTAAAATTGCCATTCTTAGAATTGTGACACACTTATGACTAAAATTTTACTCAGACCAGGGGCCGTATGCATAAAGCCGGTCAATGTAATCGAGTAATAAAGCTTGGTTTTTATAAGTAGCTTGATTAACTTCAGATTCATAAACATCACCATCCTGTCATAACCAGACCCAATATAACCCCAAACCTAATAAATCCCAATGTACATTTAACACAGATATTCAAGGATTCTTCTGACTAGTACAGATGCTTAAATGTTGGTACATATTCACTTGAAAGAAGAAAAGCACAAACAAGTTCCATTTTGTGGTTTATTTACCTATACAAAAGACCATAAACTCAAGCCAAGGTGGAATCTGAAAAAGAGATGAATAAACATTTAATGAATGAATCCTGTAGGTGAAAACATTGAAAGCCATCAAATATGAAAAATTAACAATTTAGTTAAATAATCACCATGTTATGCCTCCTTCTCCGGAACTACCTCATCTGTGCCCTTGGTGTTTCTGGTGTAGATCACCTGAGCCCTGTGCTTGGACACCAGCTTGATAAGACCTGACAACAACAAAAGCCAAACGTCACTCCATGGATTCATAACACACACTCCATCTCTTTTTGTGCCAAGTTAAATGTGCATTTGCGAACGCAACGTGCACTGTTTGCTTTATTTACACATTCGGATAATTTCCAACATTCCTGCAAATTTACAGCAATTCACCAGTAATTAGCTAAAAATCAAAGGTTGAGGGTTTGAACCCTGAAGAATTTAAGACATGCATTAATATTGTAACTTGTAGTGTAAAAAACACTTTTAAATCAAATATTTTTTATTTCACAGTACAATTATAAATTGTAACAAATACTAGTGTCATTAAATTTCTGAAATATTAACCAACAAGGGATTCGAAAAAACATTTGGCAACCATTTCCGCCACAAAAAAAAAAAGACGACAAGAAAGAAATGACAAGTCAAAATCATGACAGTCATATTTATGAAATGAAGATGAAATTGACAGTCATAGATATGACATTAAAAAGTCAAAATTCTGACTTAGTGATAAATATGAAAAGGTAAAATTATGACAGTATTAATGACACAGAAGGTCACAATTTTGACTTTTTAATATCATAAATGCGGCTTAGTTTGTCACTCACAACTATGACTTAGTATGTGATTTTCAACTTGACATTAAGATTCATTAAAATTATGACCCGTTCTTTATCAACATTTATTCTCATAATTATATCTTACTATGTCAATTCAGACTGTCATAATTAAGATTTACTAAAGCATTTTTTTTCATATGCTGTGGAAATGGGCTTCCATAGATGTGTGATGTACATTAACCACATGAATCAATTATATTAATTGTACCGGCGTCAGATCATCACCTTTGCCGAGCAGCTCCTGAAGGGCAGCCCTGGCCAGCGAGCCCCTGATCTTCAGTCTCTCAGAAACCACAGCGGGGGTGATCAGCTTGTAGTTGGGAACTTCTTTGTACAGTTTATCATATGTGGCCTTGTCGAAGAGGACCAGGTTGTTCAGCTTGTCCCTCACCTTTCCTTTGGACCACTTCTACTCAAGACCAAATATAAGGAAAACATAAATACATGCACGCAATAACGCATGCAAGTTAATTACTCGTGACTGACAGGTCTTTTAAGTGGGGTGAATAGGGTTCAAGCATTTTTACCTTCTTCTTCGCTTTGCCTCCGGATTTGTTGACGGGATCCTTGTCCTTTTTGGACTTGCCCGCATCCTTCTTCTGCTTGCTATCCTTGGGCGGCTAGTTACAGAAAAATTATTAAAATCACATGCATAAATAAATACGTATTATATCAATTACATCGATAATTTTAATAACCCAATGTGGTAATGCTGTGCGCGTGTGCTCGGGCCTCGCGCACGATGCGGCAACATTTCATACAAAATAACCACACAAAACGCTTAAATGGCCCGCTTATTCTGCATTATAGTATTCATTATGCTTTAAAAAGTAGGACACTGTGGTTAAATTACGGCTATTTCACGTGAGAAGTGGGTAAAAAGTGATATTTTCTAACATTATGGAGTCGCTCGAGCACTCACCATGCTGAGGCGTTGCGAGCTGCGGAAGAGAAAGGAAGTAGCGCACGCGCACGTCCGCTTTGTCCGCGTGCACTTCGACTGGTGCAGCGCGTGCTCTCTCTGCGCTCAGTGGCTCGCGCTCGTCACCTGCAGGACTGGAGCGAGTGGGGCACTAATTTTTTAATATTTTTTATATTAAGGTTTCAAAGTGGGGCACTAATAGAGACGTGAAGTATACATTTAGAGGACTAGTTCGTTTATATATTTACTCACCTGTTATATATTTATTATAGGCTATTTTCATTTTCATAAACCTTAAATATATGTATACATTTTTGTAAAAAAAAAAAAAAAAAAAATGTTATGTTATGTTTGTTGCAAAATCTGACAAAATCAAACCAATTTCTGTCAAGTTATTGTACATTCTACGCCCCTACAGCAGAGTCACTGGAAAGTTTCAGAGAAATAAATTTATGTCCTTTATATTATAAAGGACATAAATATTATGGTAGGGTGAGTGTCAGGGTTGTATAACTGTTGTAACCTATCAATGTGCTGGTTCATCCTGCTCATGGGAGCTGCATGAAAAACAGAGAACTTCTAATCAAACTCGTTTACAGAGAATTGTTCGTACAATCTATTCACATTTTCAATTTAAGCACATACTTTTTGTTGTAGGATGCAATGACTGAACTGGAAGTTGTAAAGAAGTGCTGCTAGAATGCATTGTTTTAACACCATAGTCATTTGAAAAAAATAATATAAATATGAAAAACTACTTAAGAACTTATGTAGTTTATGCTTAAAATAAAAATACGAAATGAAAAAAGTTATCAAGTCCAGTGTTTAAAATTATCCTGTTGACAAATAAGCAAAAATTGTATGATAAACATCCTACATTTTTACATCTTTATTCATCATAAAAGATCCTGCTGGTTGCATGAAATTAGTAAGAATTGGGTACAGGGGTTGGACAATGAAACTGAAACACAATAATTTATTAGTATGGTGTAGGGCCTCATTTTGTAATCAACACATCATCAGTTAGTCTTGGGAATGACAGATACAAGTCCTTTTACAGTGGCCAGAGGGATTTTGATCCATTCCTCTTTAGAACAGCGGCCAGGTCACTATGTGATGCTGGTGGAGGAAAACGTTTTCTGTCTTGCTTCTCCAAAATACCCCAAAGTGGCTCAAAAAGGCCATGGGAAATGTTCAACTTCACTTTCATTTCATCAAACCATTCTGTCACAAGTATTGGTGCATTATCATACTGATACATGCCACCCCCTTGGCTTCAGGGTACAATGTTTGAAGCATTTGGTCCACATGGTCCTCCAGATTGGTTCGGTAGTCCTTGGCAGTGATGTGTCCATCAAGCACAGTAGGGAATGCCAAGATATTGCAGCCCAAATATCACTGATCCACCTGTGTTTCACTCTGGGCAGCAACAGTCCGAGTGTTAAGACTCTTTGGAGCTTCTCCACACTGTAACTCCCACGGATGTGGGAAAGACAGTGAAGGTGGACTCATCAGAGAACAATACATGTTTCACATTGTCCACCGTCCAAGATTTCCACTGTTGGCATCAATGAAACATTTGGCTTTGGCACGAGTGACCAAAATGCTGGCTATAGCAGCCCGACTGTGAATATTGAATCCAGACGAACAGTTGTGGTGGAAACAGGAGCACATTTAATTCTGCAGTGAGTTGGGCAGCTGTGTTTTATGTTTTTTGGGATACAATCCAGGTTATCTGGACATCCCTTTCAGACAGCTTCCTTTTGTGTCGACAGTTACTCCTGTTGGATGTGGTTTGTCCTACATGGTGGTATGCCGATATTACCCTGGATAGCTCTCGTGACACCACAAAGACTTGCTGTCCTCTTCACAGATGAGCCAGTGAGACGCGCACCAACAATTTATCCTCTTTTGAACTCTGATATGTCTCCCATTATGTTGTGTGGATTGCAATATTTTATGTACAGCTGTGCTAATGCTCTGCTAATTCAACCACACACTCTGCTTATACTGAATGTGAAATCAGTGAAGATTGGCCATCATAGGCGTAAAACCTCCAGCACTATATTGACCAGTGTTTCAGTTTTATTGTCCGACCCCTGTATTTCAAAAATAAAATTCTTGCTTTAATACTGGAGGTTATGTACAAAGTACAAATGTTTAAGTGCAAAATAACAATGTGTGTCTATTTAAAATGTGTGTACACTGGAGAGACGATCCTCAACTCTCTGCACCTAAAGCTGTTACTCAACAATTGAACAAGCATACAAAGAAAGTAACAAGTCAAACAACATTCATGTGAAACAATTCATGTTGATACATACTAAGAAAGTAAACAACTTTTTATACTTAAATCTGTAAACATTTCTATTCCTACAGTAATACAAGTTCTGTTCTTCTGAAAGATGTACTGTTCATCTCTAAAGTGTGTGTGAATGTTGTGATATTGCTGCCGAATAAGCTCATGAAAAAAATTTGATACTGAAGGTTATATAAATGCAATTTAAAAATATACATTTTTAAAAGTGCAACAGTCACACTGCATTAAAACCCTTAAAACACTTCCTTAAAGGGTTAGTTCACCCAAAAATGAAAATTCTGTCAATTACTCACCCTCATGTCATTTCAAACCTTTAAGACTTTCGTTCATCTTCGTAAAATGAAAGATATTTGTAAAAGAAGATATTTTTAATAAAATCTAATAGATTTCTGTCCCTCCATCAAAAGTCCATGCTACATGTATGTTCTCTGATGAATGTTTATATGTGAATAAAAACCTAAATTTTTAAAAATCTGTCAACATACTAAAATATCGTGTCTCTTCAGAAGACACGGATAAAACCTCTCAAATCATATGGATTTATTTTACAATCTCTTCAATTGTGTTTCATTTATAATGACACGAGGGTGAGTAAATGATGACAGAATTTTAATTTTTTGTGTGAACTAACTTTAAGTGATCTTGACTTTAAGTGTGAACTTTAAGACCAGCCCCCGGTTTCACAGACAAGCCTTAAGCCTAGTCCCAGACTAAAATGCATGTTTAAGCTGTTTTAACTGGAAGCAACTTGCACTGACGTATCTCAAAAATATGTCAGTGCCATTGTTTTGTCTCAAGATGCACACCAGTAATGTTTTTTTCTAAGGCACGTTTATAAAATATACTTAAAGGTGCTGTATGTAAGTTTCTGACTGTACTAAAGCATAAAAATATTATAATATTTTTGCAGATATTTAGGAAACATGCTGAGTTCACATACTCATTTCTCTGAAAAACACTTCTACAGCCAGTTATTTTACTTTGAAATGTGCGTTCCATGTCGGAATTTCAGTTTTTGTTTTGGTCTGTGCGAATTTGCCAATTTACCCAATATTATTTCACCATCACAGGTTGCCAGATGGCGGAAAACACAGCATATTGCAGCCATGGAAGCCAGCGAACAAACTGGGTCAGAGATCGCCGACCCTTTTCTACCCAACCTAAAAAGTCTTCCCACCCATCTAAAAATCTCTATGAATGGGAGCATATTAAAACATGATATAAACTCATCATAAACCAATAACACAAGAAAGTCTCCTCGCATTCCATTGTCAATTGCACTCATTCCTGTTGTGTGTCCTCAATCTAGCGTCGAGTCTGAGTAGGAGGGGGCGGAGGAAACAACTCTCTCCAATATTTTGATTTTGGACTGCAGTACCCATTTCATCTGCTATCTGTCAATCTCACATACTGCACCTTTAAATGCCCCTAATTGAACTAAAGCCTAACCCTCGCTTAATCTAAGCCCTGTCTGTGAAACCAGGCCCAGATGTCCCAATCGAGTGCTGTCACATTTGCAGGGCTCTCTGATTGGATCATTTTAATGAGAGGATTAGTCCATCTTTTTAGGCACGTGGCCCATTTTTGTGCGCATGTTACGCACAAAGAAGAAACAAACAGTTGTTATAGCACAGGAGACTTCTGCTACCCAAAATGCTGTGTCCCAGCTGTAGCGTTTAGCAATGGTGCTGAATGGCAGGCCAGCAATGAATGCACCAACTGAAAAAAAAAAGGAAATATATGATTATATAGAGCATTTTATCTTCATGCATTTTGTCATGAAACAATTTGAGCAGATTTACCATTTGCCATCAGAGCTACAATAGCATGTGATGTCCCACAGAAATTGGAGGGGGCGCTCTCACTCGCAATAACCCCAAACAAGGCAATTGGACCATATGAGGAAAATCCAAATGCAGCACCAAGAATCAAAATCCAAAGCTGCAGAATAGAAAGAGATTAAAAAATGTTGTATTAGACAACATTAAAGTTAAAAACTAAGACAATAAAGATGGCTAATTATCTTATTCTAGTGAATTATTGGAGCTCTATACCTCTTTCTCTGAGACACCAGTGAGGACTGAAACTGGATGGAGTGCCAAAACCCATAGCGGTGCTTCCTGAGGAAGCACACATAACCATTTAACTAACACAAGAAAGCACAAATTAGCTATGTTTCCATCCAAAGTTGCACATTTAATTTTTGGGGAAAATTGGAATCTCTCTTTTCACATAAAACCTTTTCATAGAAAGCAACGTTTCCATCCCATGTGTTCAACAGAACGAAATTGTCACTTCTTGAGAAATTGGTGCAAAACATCTGTCATATAAAATTGAAATTGCTGCAATCGGGGAAGCCACTGTAGCTCTTTTTTCCGTCATAGTAAATCACTTGCGCCTCAGAATGCGCAGACGAAACGCAATAAACCTGTCATGTGATCTGTGGAGGCGGGCGCCTGGTGTGTGAGATTGCAATCATGTGAGACAATTCTGGAAGGTAATTACACCAAATCATTTTGATGACCGACTTTGGCCTCGGGATTTCAGAATGATCAAACCACCATTTGAGATTCTGTGCGATGAAATTGGTCCGCTGGTTAGTCCAGTTATCCAATCACATCCACTGATGAGACAAAGTCAGTTTGCGCCTCAATGGATTTATTTGGCAAACGTGTTTCTATAGTGTTATGCGCATGTCTTCTAATCGGATTTCTAAATTTTTAGAATTTACGCACATCTTGTCATTTTCATCCAGCTTTTTTTCTGAGATATTGCAAAATTTGTATAAAAATAGGTAGATGGAAACATAGCTATTGAAGCACATATAGATTTTTCAATAATAATTTTTAGATTAAAAAAAAAAAGAGTCACCTCTGGGGTCTCTGCTGTGATGGTAACCCGGAAAAGGAACATGGACACAGCCATGCCTGCCATCATCATCAGGAGTAGCCCATGGCGAGGATTACCATAGATACCCAGCCCTTGCTGTAAAATAGGAAGTCACTGTTTAACAGATGAAATGATCTCCATTCATAACTTACAAATTAATAATAATTTAAAAAAAATTAGGAATGCAACAATATAGCAAAAAAGGGTGATAGGCCATTATTTTAATTCATTTTAAATCTATAGTTATTACTTTAATTATTAATATAATGGCAAAAATGATTAATCTATTGCAACAAATGTTATTATTTATATTATATTATTAAGGTTTTTCTTGAAGTAAGAGATTTTATTAGATATAATCTGATATATTGTGCATTCCAAATTAATGGATTATACTGTAAACCGAACCCACCCGAGCAACAGCCCTGTCTGACAGATAACCAGCTCCAATGCTGCCAAAAAACCCACCAACTTCCAGCGCGCTCATGTAAGAGCTGCCTGTAGAAAACAAACACGTTAGCATCCTCACACGGACCATAAACAGCACGGAAAGCTTCAGGATAAACAGATAGAAAGTACCAGACTCACCCATCATGGCAGACTGGCCTTTTTCCTGCATGAGGAAGAGCTGACCCCAGTCAGTACAGGCGATCTTTACCCCAAACACAACCAGGTATCCCGCAGACAGCACCCAAAGGTACGGAGACAACAGGAACTCTTTTAGACTGCTTTCCTCATTAGGGCCTGGAACAACGGCAGAGACCGAGTGGATTGACAGGAGCAGTAGCCAATAACAAACAAACATATTGTAAACAGCATAAACATAAAAACAATTAAGCATACTACTGTTCCATAAAAATAAAAAAAAACACAGTAAAATTGTGAAATATTATTTTAAATTTTAAATTGTTATAATATTTTAATATTGTCCAAAACTAAATTTATTCCTGTGATGCAAAGCTGAATTAATCAAGTCTTCAGTGATAAATGATCCTTCAGAAATCATTCTAATATGCTAATGCTGATGTGGCGCTCAAAAAACATTTCTTATTGTTATCAATGTTGTAAATAGAATGCTGAATAGAAAATTTCATCCTTTATCAAAAAACAGCATTTATCTGAAATAGAATTCTTTTGTAACATTACAAATGTCTTCACTTTTGATCAATTTACCGCATCCTTGATGAATAAAAGTATTAAAAAGTATTACTATTTGTTTCTCTCCGGCCAGAGACTAATAAACACCAGTTTCTTACCTCCCTTCTTCCCTTTGCCCTTTTTAGCTCCAGGCTCAATGTTGGGCAGCCCCACATCACTGGGTTCGTTCTTCACCATCAGAAGGCAAACGACAGCGACGGCCATGCAAATCACCCCAGACATGGACATGATGATTCTCCAGTTATAGTACTGAACCAGCACTGTAGTGATGATGGGTCCCAGACTTCCTGCCAGGTTCATACTGCAGCACAGGATGGCCCACCATGTGCCAAACTGAGACGGTTCAAACCACTGGAAAAGACGGAACAAGGCCATTAAAAAATAACCAAATAACACAATGTCAATACAAGTTAAGCTATTTTCTAGAAAAGGCTTCTAGTTTATTTAACATCTAAGTAGTATGCAGCCCGTAAAGAGACATGGTGGTGGAAAAAAATATAAGTTATGGGAAGAAAAAAAAATATTTCAAAACTTTTGCGTCCGCTTGCATAAATGTAGCATTCCCTGAGAAACTGTGTGTTCATAATTATTTTTCAGATCTCTTTTTTTCCCTTTAGGGGCTCCATAGTATGGTCAACTTAGCTACATGTTGAGGTCAAAATTGCTAAGCAATGTTGGATAATGTATATATTAATTATTTTTTTATTGCCATGTCAGCAACAATGCTATCTTCAGGACCATGGCAAGCGAATAATAAAAACCAAACAATTAACAACTAGCTAAAGACATTTTTGATAAATAGATAAAAATTCTAAGATAAATTCACATGGTACATTTTTAAATATACCACTTAATCATTTATCTGAATGAAATTACATTAAAAACAGTTGAGTCCAAAAAAATATGTTTAACAGTCATTGGAGTTTTACAAGCAAGGCATGATGCTTGTTCTTCACCTTTCAATAAACAACCATGTGTAAATCTTGAGTAAAAACAATTTGATCATACCTTTATTTGAAATGATTAAAAAAAACTTCTTATGATTTATTTCATGTAACTTGTTTCTGTGCCATTCCATTTGCCCAATGCTAGATAAAAACACATAAAACCTCTTTTTGGGATGTTCCTGAAGTTAAAAAAAAAACAAAAAAACAAAAAAAACACGCTTATATTATATTTAGGTTTCTTTTATCTAAAAAAGACTACCTAGGCTAGATATGCTAATAATGATATCATACTACGCTATATCACCATAAGCATATCTAGCCTAGGTAAACAATAGTTTATTTAGAATCTAAATTCCGATTAAATAAGATTAAGTTCTTTAAAATAAACCTAAATCCAAAGCAATGTCAGTTAATTACTATAATGCATTTGAACACCCACTGAAATGTATGTCATATTCAATATTATTTATTTTACCGCAGACCAACAAGTGCTTCCAGGTTGGTTTGGCAAAGTGAACGGCTGTTGGTTGCTTTAATTAGATTTAAGTGTATCGTAACTCTCGCAGCATGACTCCACAAGGATCAGCTGTTGCATCTCGAATATATCTAGTGGCATTCGTCAGTGTGAGGTCAGCAGATGGAGTTCCCAACTATTCCCGTCACACTGCCAACACTGGACGACAGGTGCATACTGACAGATTATAATGGCAAAGGGTCAGTCTTACCTTCCGAAGCACCTTTCCACATGGTGGCCAGCCGAAACCCTGACCGAACCCGTTCACGAACCAAAGCACGGTAAACATCATGACAGTGGATGACCAGGAAAAGGCGATGTTTATGGTGCCTACAATGAAGAGCCCGATGGCGAAGAGCCAGCGAGCGCTGATCCGGTCAGAAAGCACTCCGCTGATAAACTTACTGATAGCGTAGGCCAGAGTCTGACTGCTGGTGATCAGCCCTGCATCACAGGGAACAGGAAAAGACACAAGTGAAAGAACCTACTCTGGCTGTTTTGTGGCTTTGGCATGGATTTCTTAGTAAGCCATGAAATAGGCCTACTGCATTGCAATACAACAGGGGTGTTCAATGTTTTTTTCAAGACAAGGAGTGAATAGAAAGACTGGGCAGGGACCCTCTGTGTGATATATATATATATATATATATATATACACACACACACACACACACACACACATATACTGTATATACAGTTTGGTGTCTGTAAGATTTCTTACTATTTTTGATCAGTCTCTTTGATCAAAAATACAGTTAAAAAAAAAACAGTACAAAAAAAAGTAATACTTTTAAATATTATTATATATTTCTATTTTAATATATTTTAAAATGTAATTTATTCCTGTGATGGCAAAGCTGAATTTTCAGCATTATTAGTCCAGTCTTCAGTGTCACATGATCCTTCAGAAATCAGTCTAATATGCTGATTTGCTGCTCAAGAAACATTACTATTATCAATATTGAAAACAGTTAATGCTTAATATTTTTGTGGAAACTGTGATGCATTTTGTTCAGGATTCTTACTGATCCCAAACTTTAGAATGGTAACACACAACACACTTACCAAGATCTTCTTTATCCAGATCAATCTCCTCCATCACTGATGGCATTAGAAAGGAGAAAGTCTTTCGGTTGAAGTAATATAGCATGTAGCCCACAAACATTGAGATGAATATAACAGTGCGGTAATATCCATAATCTGCTGCTCCCATGATTGCGGTTGTGAGATTATGAATTAATACAAGCAAAAAATATACAATAAAAGAAAACTCAGAAACAATGCTGCAAGTTTACAGCCCAAAAAGTTCTTATAGCACAAAAGCCTTCAGTTCTGTTAACCAGTTTTCTCCTGATGAAACTTCAAGAACTGATCCAAAGGTCTAAATAATTTCATCTGACTTCTAAGGGGTGATGAAGATGTTCAGCTCCTGTCCAGGTTCCTTAAAGTTGCATGGGCGACAGGCTCTTCAGCCGGCATTCACTGCTGTGCCTGGAAAACATCACAGAGTCCGTTTAATTTAATCTATATGCAAGCAGCTTGTTGTGAAGTGGACCAGCAACCAAATACATCTGAGCAAAAACAAAGACTCAGCACTATTTAGTCTTTTACAATCAGACGAATCGGAGGGGAACAGAAGACGCTTTCATGAAAACTCCACACTTTCTACAGACCTCATGCAGTCTAAATGCCAAAGGGTTTCTTGAGTGGCCATAGACTTAAACAGCAATATGAATTTGAAACATGATGCAGGGGTCAAGGGAACATCTCTTGCAAGAATGCCAAACTCCGGATAAAAATAACATGATAAGTGCTTTCTGCACATTGCATGGGGACACATGCCCTCTCAATGGAAGTAAGAATTAATTTAAACGATGATTGAAAAAATGCAGTGTGAAGAAAAAAAACGTTGAGTAAAAAAATGCTGTGTGAATAAAGGAGGCGTTTTTGATCCTCCTGCGCTTTTTAAGTCGTAAAAAAAGCCTTTGACAGCGCAAGCGCGCTTTGGTATCAGCACGCGCACCGCACCGCACGAGATTACAAAAACGCAAAACCACGCGGTGACGTCAGTGCATCAAAACGGCGAATGCAGTAACAACACTGATTCTGACCTCAACAACAAGCGTCCTTTCTACCACTGTGCAGAGTGCAGACTAAACGTATTTATTATGTAGGCTAATGCTAAGATACATAGAAATATTTCCCGACTTATATCTTGTTTGAACAGTTAATGTTGCTTGACAGTTTCATTAGAAAGAACGAATAAAATGTACCTCCGACAGCCCGAGCTCGCGTTCAGAATTCACGCCGTTGCAGGAGCTCCTTCTCTAATCTCTGTTCCGATTGGCTGTCAACCTGTCATTTATGTCGCGGTGGGCGGGCTTTAGTCTTCTTGCAGTCCTTAGTGGCACATTTATATAATTGTTTGCTGCATTTATGGAGTAGTTCTAAGATTTCAAATCAATATACCCGCAGTATTATTTTTAACTGCTGGATTGAACTACAAAGCATTAGTTGTGGTAATGATGAAGAAAACTATTGCTTATGATTATTGTGATGTTCTTTATGGTGATTTCTATGATTAATCCTTTCAAACACATTGTTCTTGTATTAATCAATTTATTAATGTCTATTATATATGTTAGCCTACTTTGTCTATTATATCTTTTAATATCATATACTCATAATTTATATACATATTCTATTAAAACCAGACCTTTGGTTCATCTCTACTCTGAAAGGGTAGGCTACAGTCATGCTGTCACTTCTCTAAAAGTTGAGACATATCTCTCGTCAATGTCTGTTATCGAATCTAATTTAAAATGTTGCATGAGCTTGTGTTTTTTACAGAGAGTATTAGCTAAAGTCCAGCATGTTGAAAATGTTTATTTGGCTCGTTCTGTTTCTATAGTGTTAAAACCACAATGCTTACAGAATGTAATACCAAGAGGCCATAGGTAATTCTTAGAAAATATATTTTTGAAATTATTAACATTTCCTGATCTGATCTGAACACAGGCATAACATAAATATTGGAGAGAATTGGCAAAGCTCATACATTGCTCTTGGTCTTGAATCTCGCTCGTGGACAATATTATTTTACTAAGAGATATTTAGTTAAGGACTAAATCCGATTATTACTTACACATTTATATAAATAATCATTGTTTTATTATTTTTTATTATTCATTTTATTCTTTATTTATAAATAAAATCATTTGTATTTATCACTTCTCCTTTTTGATTAGATAGATCTCACTGCATCAGGTAAGTAATTATTTTTAATGACTTATGAATTTCCGGTTTGACTCGAAAGTTTACTGAAGTTAAAGGATTAGTTCGCACAAAAATGAAAATTCAGTCATTAATTAATGAATCCTCATGTCGTTCCAAACCTGTAAGACGTTCGTTCATCTTCGGAACACAAATTAGGCCTATATAGCCTATTTGGTGAAATCTGAAAACTTCCTGTTCCCATTGACAGATACGCATCTGACACTGATGCTTCAAAGAGTTCATAAAGAGAAACTAATCAATATGGATTGAGAGGTTTAGTCCAAATTTTCTATAGAGACTTGGTCACTATATGACGAACAGATTTAATATTAGGCTGATGTGTTAGGCTAGTTGATGAATGTTTATGTGAATAAAAGCCTAAATTCAATCTGTTTATCATATAAAGAGATGTGTCTTTAGAAAATATATTGTAGGTATAGTCAGACAGTTTTACGATCTCTTTATGAACTTTTTGAAGAGCCAAAGTGTAACAACAGCTGTCAATGGAGGGACAGAAAGCTCTCAGATTTCATTAAAAATATCTTTATTTGTGTTCCGAATCCGAAGATGAACGAAAGTCTCGGAACGGAACGACATGAGGATGAGTAATTAATGACTTTTTATTTTTGGGTGAACTATCCCTTTAACATGACATCATGTCCTATGGTGCTGAAGCAAAGATGTAGCCAGCCATTGCCATAGGCCATTGCACTACAGCCACTAGATGGCGGAAATAGAAACATAAAGTATGCCTGTATTGTCTTTATGGACTGGTTTCACAGACAGGGCTTAGATTAAACCAGGATTAGGCCTTAGTTTAATTAGGGCATTTAAGTATATTTTATAAACATGCCTTTTTTTATTGCATTATAATTTTTTTTTTTTTTTTACATTGCTAGTGTGCATCTTGAGACAAAACAATGGCACTGAAATGTCAGTTCCAGTTGATTTAAATTAAAACAGCTCAAACATGCATTTAATCTGGGACTAGGTTTAAGACTGGTCTGTGAAACCGGGGGAATAATTAATATAAAACCAATTCATATTTATGGTGATATTGTGTTTATTATTTCAAATAACACAAATATTATTATAAATAATGTTTTTTTATGTTCCATAATTGTTGCAATGTCTTTCTGCTGAAATGTAAGCAAATACTAAATAATTTCTTTTTAAATTATATTATTAATTGAAATTATTATTAAAAAAAATATTATGATTTCCACTGTGACAACCTCCCATATAGAGTGACTTTGACAACATGTTGGGGAATTTTGTCAGACAAAATCAGCCCTGAGAAATAAAATGACTAGTAGCCTTGGTGACTCAAAATTTCAATAATAATGTCTGTACTAAAAAACACTGGTAACCAAAAAACAACTAAAACAAAAAAAATCTAAATTAACAGATTTTAATCAAGTCAAAAATATTATTTAATATTGCTGAATCAACCTAATTAATACATTAATTTGTACCAACAAAATTCATTTTACGGGTTAAATCAATAAAAACAAAACGAAAAACCCCCAGCTTTTTAAAGGGGTCATATAATGCCATTTTTGTACAAGCTAGTATGATTCTTTAGGGTCTAAATTAAAAGTTTGTAATATACTTTAATTAAAAATTCTCATTAGTATAGTAAGAAAACACTTATTTTACCTGGTCAAAAAAAGCTCTGTTTTCAGCACGCCGTTTCAGTGCATATGCCTTTAAATGATAATGAGGTTTGCTCACCCCCCCTCTCTGTTCTGTGCGTACATACACAGTGTGTAACACAATAATACAATAACCATAACGCGTTGTTTATGGAATAGTATAAACGTGGGATTATGAATTATATTGAGAACATCGTACATAGAAAACATGCCGTGATGTACCCTAAGTGTAAACCTTAGACGCATTCATTGTGAAGCGTGCACCTAGCGATTTGCAAAGATTAATATAAATATTAATATAAAGTTTAATAAAACGTTACACTCACTTCAGTTGTTCTAGAGCAGGGGTCTCAAACTCAACTTAACTGGGGGCCGCTTGAGGTAGAGTCGGGGTCAGGCTGGGCCACATCAAGTATTCCACAAAAAATAGTATTCAAGTATTCCAAAAAAGGAGCACAACTGATCCAAACTTCTCAATATTTATTATTAACGTTTCTTCTGAACTGTTCCTCTGAATTTGAACATTCCTTTCTGTACATGATTGGTTCTTCATGAGCTGTCCTTCTGACAGTTGAAGTTCATTTTACAAACTTTCTTTGTCTATAACACATATTTGTGATATTTATATTTGCTTATGTCCTTTTTATTTTCTCTATACAACACATTAATGATATTGAATTTTTTTTTTGGAAGGCACATTTCCTTTTATTATACTTAGAAAAACAATTATTGCTTTTGAAATACAAATATTTGCAGTCATGTCTGCCCGTCTTATTGAATTGTTTCTACACATGTATAGTGTCTCAAATTACTGACTGCACAAATCAGAGCAAACCTTCTTATCAACCTGTTGGACACATTACAAGCTCAAAGTGATTATTCTCACATTGTTTTAGGGTCTCTCTCCAACACGTCGCTCGCGAGCTACCAGTAGCTCGTGGCCTGATTGGTGGTAGCTCGCCAAGGGGCCGTTCACATATCGCGCTCACATATTTTGCGCGCTCAAGTTCGTTATTTCAAATGTAGGCGCGCGGTAAGCGCGCTCATAATTGAAGCGACGCGCTCATTTTTTCCAGGCGCAGTATGTTTGTACTTCGCGGTTGTCTATGACAACTATTGACAACAAACCCACCGTAAGCTGTCACGAGACTATCTATGGTAGCCCATAAGGGATAAAAAAAAAAAAAAAACTCGGCACACGCAATGACGGGCCGCACTAACATTAAAATTTAATGTCAAGTAGGGGGCCACAAAATATCACCCGCGGGCCGCGAGTTTGAGACCACTGTTC